AGAAGTGTGATATTGAGATATGAAGTGAATAAATCAAATAAAATTTTATTTTGTTTTTTTAGAGTTTGCGGACATGTTTATTTGTAGATTGATTTTAATTGAGTACAACAACCCGTAGAAAATTATTAACGAGAATTTTAATAGTGTCCATTTATTTTTATTTAGCTCGCTTTAATTCTGTGGAATGTCGCGGTCACTGTAATTAAACTTTTTTTTTTATTTTGTTTTTAATCTTGGAATTTTATTATTATTATTTTTTTTATAAAACCACATTCACCGTAATTTTTAAAAATTTAATTTCAACTTTGAAGTCAATTAATTATTTACAAAAAAGAAAAATCTACTTTTTTTTTAATTGAATTTAAATTTTGAAGTAATTAAAAATTAAAAATTAAAAAAAAAAAAAGAAAAATCTAATTTTTTTTTAATTTTGAAGTCAATTAATTAAAAAAAAAAAAATGTAATTTTTATTCAAGATTAATATGTGATAAAATTAATTTCAAAGAAGTTAATAACTAATTTATTTATTAATTAGAAAAAAATTATTACTTAAAAAAATATCTTGTAAATATTATTATTATATTATTATTATTGCTATTTTTATTACTTTTTTTTTTATAAAACCAAATTCACAGTAATTTTAAAAAATTCAATTTCAACTTTGAAGTCAATTAATTAACTAAAAAAAAAAAAGAAAAATCTAATTTTTTTTTAATTTTGAAGTCAATTAATTAAAAAAAAAAATTATTAATTATTAAAGAAAGTGGAATTTTAATCAATGAAAAAAATATTTTTCAATGAAATTCAAACAAAATTTTGAGTCATAAATTTTACATTATTATCGAACAAAACTTGTGATTACTTCCTAATTTTCCAAGATTTTTTATATCTAAGTAGAGAACAATTCTAATCTGTTTAGAATATTAATATGACTTTCAAGAAGCTTTCAAACAATAGCAACATATTTTTCATTGTCATATTACAATGCCTTGTTTTATTGATGCATTATTAAGTATTAAGTCAAGTGAAATTATAATAAAGGGAACAAAAATAGAATATTTTTACTCCTACTTAATCATCAAAATTTATTTTTTTCAATTTCTTAAAAAAATCATAAAAAAAAATTTTTTTACCAAATAAATAAATAAATATTATCTTTCAAAAAAAACATTTGAAGAATATTATGAATAAAAAATTTATTTGATATTAAAAAAGCTAATAATAAAACTCATTATTCCTCTAAAAAAATTAATTTCCAAAAAAAATTGTGTTTGGAGTTAAAAAAAATTTTGTTTCAATTAAAAGGCTTGTTTGATTAAATTAAAAGTATTAATTACGCATAAAATTAATCACCCATGTCTAGACTTTTAAAATTACTCAAGCAATTTGTCTCAATCTTGTTATTCATCAACTTGGCGTATTATCGCAAAAAAAAAAACGCCGAAATGAGTAAAAAATTTTAATGTTAATGGGAATTGGTATAAATATAATTATAAAGTGCGACAAATGAAGTGAGTTTAGTTAAGTTTGGTACGACCTTGAGCCTGTTGAAGCATCTGGCGCATCGCCCTGAGCTCCGGAAATCCAACATGCCAACCAAACCATCACAAGACTCTAAGATGCCCTGAATCTTTCATTAGTCATAGTGTTATGCTGGTTAGCTCAATAGGAGCATTGTAAGACAGTACCCACCAAAGTTCTGCACACTTAATGCTGATATTTAATATCAATACCGATGTATATGTGTACATAACAATGTTACATATTCAAACAGTCTGAAGTAGAATTATCATCAGCAACAGTAACAGCACATACCTCATACATTTTAACATTAGCCAACATTTATTCTCATCATTTAACTAGTTTGACAAATATTTGTGTTAGTTGCTCACAGAGAGTGCCTAGATTTTCTTATTTAATCAATGAACAAGTTCACGTTTTGTTTATATGACCGCGAATTATATATTCTAGTATTTTTATTATTGAGAAAATTAATTTAATAAAAATTTTAATTTTTAGATCATTTAATTTTGTAATTTTTAGAAAATAAAATTGACAAAATTTTTAAATAATTATTAAGAATAAAATCTTTAATTTTGAAGTTTTATTATTTGGAAAATTACTTAAGTAAAATTTTTATTAAATTTTGATTTTAGGTGATTTAATTTTGTAATTAAAAAAAAACTTGACAAAATTTATTAATCTAATTTTTAAATAATTATTAAGAAGAATTTAAATTTTTAAGTTTTATTATTAAAAAAATTACTTCAATAAAAATTTTGATTTTTAGATAATTTAATTTTGTAATTTTCATAAATAAAAAATGAACAAAATTTTGAATCTAATTTATAAATAATTATTAAGAATAAAAAATTTCATTTTAAAGTTTTATTATTTTGAAAATTACTTCAGTGAAAATTTTTTAAAATTTTGATTTTTAAATAATGTAATTTTGTAATTTTTTGAAAAAAAAATTGACAAAATTTTTAATCTAATTTTTACATAATTATTAAGAAAAAAATTAAGAAAATTAAAGAATTATTAAGAAAAAAATTTTTATTGTTTGAAAAAATACTTCAGTAAAAATTTTGATTTTTAAATAATTTAATTTTGTAATTTTTAGAAAAATAAACTTGACAAAATTTTAAATTATAAATAATATTTAATATTTAGAAAATACCTACAAGGAAGCGCATGTGTTATGAATAGATATGTGAACGCAAAAAGACATAATCACGCTCCCCTTAAATAATTTGACATACTCGAGAGAGCTTGATATGATATTAGCAATATAACAATGGATGGATGGCTCCGATTCGTTATTAGTTATTATGTCTAATGGTTATTACTTCAATTGTATGTGGTGAAATAATCCAGAGTTGAAGAGAGATTGAAGGTCGCGCGTGAGCTTGCAAATAGCACACTGTCGATAATCATCATTAGGATTATTATCATAAACTACTTTTTTATCTCAATGGTAATCAATATTACACTACAAAGATGTCATTATAGACGACTTGCGTGAGATTAATATCGCTTCAACGTAGATAATTTTTTTCGGCGAGTAAATTAATTGAGGAATTTACATTGAAGGCGAAGATTTTGTGATAAAGAGTTCAATTGGTCTGACCGTGATAGTTCTCATGAAATTGATTACTTTTTCTTTCGCTTATTAGAATTTATGTGATTGACTTCTCCGTATTGACATATTTTTCAACTGACAGTAATTTCATTTTTAGTACAATAATTAATTTTTTCTTTTAATCTAAATGCTACTTGTTGATTTTTACAAATATTTTTTAAATTAAAAATTAATTTTTTTTTTCTATTTTTTCTACACTAATTAAATTAAATAAATAAAAAAAATATTTAAAAATTATCTTCATTATTTTTTTAAACTAATAAAATTTTTTTTAATTATTTTCATTCATTTTTTTAAATAAATAAAAAATTTTTAAGAATTATTGTTTTTTAAATTAATAAAAAAAACTTATAAATTTTTTCTATAATTTCTATTAAGGAAAATTTATTTATTTCTTTTTTTTAATTCATCTATTAAGGAAAATTTTTTAAAAATTTTCTTCACAATATTTTTAATAAAAAATTTCAAGTAAGCTTAAAAATAATCATATTATAAATTATAAAATATTATAATCTGACAGTAATAACTTTTTTGATGCTCCACAAAGTAGCTTAAAATCCTCCCACTCTGGAATTAAATTACCACCGGCCTTACTATTAATTTCAATAGATTCGCAACACTATCCTGTACGCATCTTTATTTATAAATCTAAAAAGCACGTAGGAGTTTTTCTGATTGAAATAAATTATAACAATAAAAAAGCAAAAATAACTTTCGCAATACTCCACCAATTTATATCTTCAATACTGAGATAATATAAATGAAGCGAACGTTGCGCAATTAATAATTAAAATATAGATAACGCGTAACTGAGCGCTAGTAATTATGACATTAACACCACGGATGTAATACGACCCTCGCAGCTCGTTACTTTCAATTATCGCGTTGTAAAAAAACAAACTGTACGTAACATTTAATAAAAGATATTCAAAGTATCATGCGGATTTGATTGAGCCGCGAAACAATAGGCAATTGGTATCTAAAAACCCAATATAACATACAATAATAATTTAAACTGATGTTATAAAAAAAAATTTAATGAATAAAATTAAATTAAATAAATAAAATTATCATAAAAAAAATTATATATACTCAGAATTAAATGAGGCATAAATCAGTCCTTGAAATAAAATAATAAAATATAGTCCATTATTTAGAAAATTTATTCAGTAAAAATTTTGATTTTGAGATAATTTTATTTTGTAATTTTTGGAAAAGAAAATTGAAGTTTTTAAATAATTATTAAAAAAAAATTATGAAGTTTTATTATTTGGAAAATTGCTTAAGTAAAAAATTTTAATAAATTTTGATTTTAGGTAATTTAATTTTGTAATTAAAAAAAAAATTTTACAAAATTTGTAAATAATTATTAAAATAACAAATTTTTATTTTCAAGTTTTGTTGTTCGGAAAATGACTAGTAAAAAATTTGATTTTTATATTATTCGAATTTTATAATTTTCAGAAAAAAAAATTGACAAAAATTTTAATCTAATTTGTAAGAAAAAAAAATGTTATCATGTTTTATTATTTAGAAAATTACTTCAGTAAAAATTTTAATACATTTTGATTTTTAGATAATCTAAATTGATGTTATAAAAAAAAATTTAATGAATAAAATTATATTAAAAAAAAATAATACATACTCAGAATTAAATGAGGCATAAATCGTTCCTTGGAACAAAACAATTAAAATATTGTCCATTAAACGTCGCATTGATAATCCATAGGTACTTGTTAAAAGCATTTAAATAATAATCAAAGGTACTGGAGTTCAATGTTAACGAAGCTATATATGAAAAAATAAAATAAAAAAGTCTTTCATCTCCAACTCTCCACTCTTCTCCAGTTCGTCGCGACTAGATCGTTCGTAAAATCGAATGGGAAACAGCGAAACAAAGTATAGCAATGAAACCGCCGAACCCGATTGAGGAAGAAGAGCTGCAGCTAGGCAGAGGTTTGTCCGTGGTCGTTGTCACGGGTCCATTGGTCTGCTCTTCAGCAGTAAAAATAGTCACCGGCGGCATTTCATCAACCTGTTGATAATTCTCGAGCGTGTGAGGATTGCCCAAAGGCAAGCTTGCTAATTCGTCGGTGACTTCTTTCGCATGTTCAAAAGGCCTGGTCGGATTATGTCCAGACTCTGGATAATTAATATTGTGGTTGTCTTCCCTGGACAGCGGGTCTGCCTCAATCGGGTAGTAAATGTCGTCAAAAGTATTGATGTCCTCTGAGTTTGACGTCCAGGATATTTTGGACGTGGACGTTGGCAGGCGGTGCGCGTTTGCTTCGCTATATGGAGCAAAGGTCGATGATCGCGGATAATAAGGCTCTTGTGGCACTGACACTGGTGGGGTTGGTATGTCTGGAAAATTTCTTGAAGCTTCAGGTCGAGAATAAGTGTCTGATTTATCAGGATAAGTAACAGATGTTGGGTAATGCATGCTTGTTACTGGATAATTAATATTACTTGTACTAGAAGGCAATTCTGGGTTATGAGTTATTATTAAACGTTCACGATACATCGGCGTTGTTTCGTAATTTTCGTATACTTCAGGTGGGTTTGTTAGGTCGAATCGTTGGTAGATTTTTGGTGGTTCGGTCATTAATTCTGGCCTTGGATGGTTTCTTGATTCTTCATCAGGTCTTGAAGGATCTGTAGGTAGTACGGTGATTGATTCAGGTGGGTCATAAATATTTTGATTTTCAGGTTCGTACAGTCGAGGATTATTTTTTAGTGATTCAAGGATTTCAGGAAGTCTTGGATCTTCAGGTCGCATGTTAAGAATTTCATGAATTCTCGGATCTTCTGGACTCATGTTGAGGATTGCATGAATTCTTGGATCTTCTGGTCTCATGTTTAATAATTCATGAATTCTTGGATTTTCTGGTCTTTCATGAAGTCTTGGATCTTTTGGTCTTTCATGAATTCTTGGATCTTCAGGTCTTTCATGAATTCTTGGATCTTCAGGTGTCATTTCAGGTCTTTCATGAATTCTTGGATCTTCTGGTCTTTCATGAATTCTTGGATCTCCAGGTCTTCCATGAATTCTTGGATCATAAGTTCTTGATTCAGGTATTTCATGAATTCTTGGATCTTCAGGTCTTTCATGAATTCTTGGATCTACAGGTCTTTCATGAATTCTTGGATCTTCAGGTCTTTCATAAATTCTTGAATCATTTGTTCTTGATTCAGGTATTTCATGAATTCTTGGATCTTCAGGTCTTCCATGAATTCTTGGATCATATGTTCTTGATTCAGGAATTTCATGAATTCTTGGATCCTCTGGTCTTTCATGAATTCTTGGATCTTCAGGTCTTCCATGAATTCTTGGATCATATGTTCTCGATTCAGGAATTTCATGAATTCTTGGATCTTCAGGTCTTTCATGAATTCTTGGATCCTCTGGTCTTTCATGAATTCTTGGATCCTCTGGCCTTTCATGAATTCTTGGATCTTCAGGTCTTCCATGAATTCTTGGATCATATGTTCTTGATTCAGGAATTTCATGAATTCTTGGATCCTCTGGTCTTTCATAACTCCTTGGATCTTCAGTTCCCGACTCAGGTCTATCATAAATTCTCAAAGTTTCAGTAACCGACTCCAAGACCTTAGACAATAACTTAGCAGATTTAGGTTGAATTAAATCATGAGTAATTTTATCCCAAGCATCATCACGTTCATAATTAATATTCTTGGACTGCATCAACTGATTCACCGCATTCGGGCACTTGAATTCGGGATTACGGTTCAAAAACACGCGTTTCAAGTCCACCAGGTGCGACATTTCATCAATATTCAAACACTGTAATTTATTCCCAGCAATCCTCAGATCCACAAGACCGGGCAAATTAGCAAAAACCCCGTCTTCAATACTCTCAATCTCGTTGTAATTAAAATCCAAGTAGGTTAAATACTTCAAACCTTGGAACCACTGGGCTTTTATAACGCGTAAATTATTGTTATCCAACCTTAGCTGCTGCAAGCTGGTGAGAGTTTTAAAAGCGTCGTCATCTATCTCTTGGATTGAACAGTGAGAGCATGAGAGGACCCACAGGTTGTCGCCAAATCTACCGAAAGTGTTCGCGGTTAAATGAGACAAGTCTATGTTTGCTATGCGGATTTTTTCAGTTCGTTCAGGGATCGAGTAAAGGTCAGCAAGTGTACCGTTCTCACAAGAGTACTCAATCATGTCTTCATTTTTCACTTGCGTACACGCTGATGATACTTTGTTAATTATTAAAGTCATAATTAAGAGTTTTGAAAACAAATACACTGACACAGACATGGTGATTTTTTTTTATTTTATAAAATTGCAATTAATTTATTTATTTATTTATTTATTTATCAACTATTTACTATTACTACTTAACACATCGTTGGAGCAAGAGTTTGAGTTGGAGTAACGAGGGTAGAAAATTAAAGACGGAGACTGAATTTACTTTACGAATGCTGCGGTTATTTATTTACTAATGTTACCCCTTCTATTTGAAGTTTGAAGCCCGCTTTTTCCCTCTCTACACCCACGTGGGCTCATCTGAGTTATTACGCTGCAGTTGATAGGATTGCTACCGCCTATCGGTATTAATGGAAATCATTTTTATTGAAAAATTGGATGATGGCTATCGAAAATTATTGTGAGATTTAAATATATTAAAGATTTTAATTAAGTAATTGGGTTAAGATTTTCTAATTTATATTAAATAATCCTTCATTTTATTTTTCAGATGTAAATTTATAATTTTAGAATATAGGAATAATTTAATAAATTTAAAATTATATCCTCTTTAATTTCATATAATTTTTCAATCTTACGGATTTATAACTAAAACTTTTTCAGACAAATTTTATACATTTAAAAAAATTTTTAAATAAAATTTTACTTTATTAAATAATGACTTTGGTTAAATTGCACTGTATTATGTTAAATATTAACATTTTTAAAGATATAAGCTCATTTTGAAGTTACACTCATCAAGACCTTTCATTTGAGTACCCACATGCATTTTCATATATTTTTCATATATACATATATATAATATATATAAAATATATGACAAATTGATGTGGGTATTTAAATGAAAGGTCTTGATGAGTGTAACATTGGGATGAGCTTATATCTTTAAAAATGTTAATAGTTCACGAGATACAGGGCCATTTATTAATTATGTATCTAGTAATAGAGTATTTTTAAATGCAGCCTAAAAACTTATCATCATAAATTTACTATTTGAGAGAATGATATGAAACCATGAAAAGGTACAAATTCAAGTCAAGACTTTTCCAACGATACCAAATTTAACTATAAAAACCCATTTTATAATACCTCAGCTACAATTTTGCTTATTCTCTTAATAATATAGATTAAAAATTTAATATTGAGTAATTATTTTTATAAATTAATTTTCATTCATTAAAAAATAAATTTTTTATCTTTTATTATTAAAAATAAAATTCTGAATATGAAATTAATTTTTATATTGATTCATATTTCATAATAAAAATAATCAGATAATTATTATCTCTCTGACAATTTTAAAAATAACTATGACATTATAAAAAATGCCCACTTCAATTGACCGATAAAATATAAATTGACACCTTTTAATATAAATCCTGAAACTAAAAGAAAAATAAATTCAAGTATTTTCCTTACCTTACGCTTACGACGAGCTTTTTTCTTCTCATTTTCATTAGTAAAAGCCTTGTACTCAGGTACTTCACCATCTTCAATAAGCTTTTGGATAATTGCGTGCAAGCGAGGCTCTTCATCACAATTAGTAAATGGCACGGCTTCTAGTATGTAATCCATGTCACCTTTGCCTAAAAAAATAATAATTTGTAATTATAAGTACATTTTTCATGACATTAAAGTCAGCAGTCGCTTGACTATTTTTTAATTTTTTTTAATAAATAAATTTGCTCCAAAAAATTGCATTTTTTATTTTTTTAATTTTCTAAATCTCAATTTTTTTTTCTCATTTTTTTGACATAATTTGTTTGTTAAAAAATTATAAAATATCTGGTAAATTAATTTGCATACATTTTATGACACTGAAGTTAACAGACGTCTAAAAATTTTCGATTTTTTTTTTTAATTGAATTAGAACTAAAAAGATATTTTTAAGAAATTGCACTTATAGTTTTTCAAGTTTTTAACAAGTGATATATTTTTTTTAATTGTTTAATTGAAATTTTTTGGATAAAAAAATTTCTAAAAATTTTGAAATGTCAGCTAACTTCATTTTCATTACATTTTTCTTTTTTTTTAACAGATATAATAATAATAATAATAATAATAATAATAATAATAATAATAATTACTTACTGTCAGTGTAGGCCCGCTTGAGATCTTTGATCTCAGTCTCAGATCCTTTATAATCCTTTTCATACTTGTTGATGTCTTCGATAGTAACTTCCTTGAACAGTGTGCGCCAATAGTCGGCCCAGTTCCGCATCGCAACTTCTTCACTCTCTTCATCGTATTGGCCAGTTTCATCATAAATTTTACGTTTTTCAGTGTCACTCAATATTGAATGAATGAATCCAAGCACCTGGAATTTTTCAGTGGCTTCTTCCTTTTTATTTTCAGCTACACGATCGGGATGCACCAACAGTGACAATTTGTGGTAGGCTTTTTTTACTGAAAATTAATAAAATAATTTTATTTAAATAAATTTAAACTGATAATTATTATTTTTACCAAATAAAATAATAAATTGTGAGGTTAAATACCTTCTTTGTCACTCGCTGTTTTAGGTATTTCAAGAACTTCATAAAAATTCCGACTTCCGAAATATTTTTCACACAAATCATGTAATTTCGCCATGATTTATAATTACTGATAACTTAATGAGTGTATAAGGAGTATAAAATAAAAGTTATCACAAAAACAAAATGGTTAGACAACAAATCAACGAATGTTGCTTTTTTTTACCATAAACAACGGGGGAAACCATTTTTAACCGCGAAAAATAATGCGCATGAGTTCTGAGTCAACTTCACTTCTATTATTATTATTAAAATTTTATAATTGTGAAGTTAGCTGATAGCTGTCAAATTTTTTAAATATATTTTATATTTTTAATAAATTAATTATAATTAACAAAAAAGCTTTAAAAGAAATTTTCATTGAAGCTGACAGATATTAAAAATTTTTTTAGAAGTTTATAGCAATTAAATTATTAAAAAAAATTTTATTAAAAAGTCACATGTGAAAATTAATAAAAATTACAAGTGAAAATTTTTAGAAACACTTTTTTATTGTAATTTATTTGTTAAAAAAAAAATTTTTAAAATTGACAGCTGACTGCTAACTTCAGTATTATTTTAAAAAATTTTCACTAATAATTTTTATTAATTTTCACCTCAGAAATTTTTTTTTAAATGTTTTTTTATAATAATTTAATTTCTATAAAATTATAAAAAATTTCTAATGTCTGTTAACATTAATGTCAATGTCAATTAAAAAAAAAAAACAAATAAAAACATTTTTATTTTTAGATTAGAAATTTGTAATTAATTTTTTTTAAATTAATTTTTTTAAATTAAATTTTATTTAATTTCTGTCAGTGTCATAAATTTTTCAACTGTTGATACAGTAGGGTTATGTCAAAAATATTTTATTGTTTGTTATTATGAAAGTTAGAGGTCCTCTCTACCCTGCTTGATGAATAACTCAAATCCTAACCTGAAGTGAATAATATAAATACAAGTTTTTAAACATAACCACGTGTATGGGTGTATGTTGACATTTTTAGAATTACTTTTAAAAAGATGAAATGTTTATCTTAGACTTTTTGAAAATTGTCAATAAATAATTATTTTATTAAAGTAAGACAGCTTAATGTAATGTTCTACGCACTGGGATAACACAAATCGCGAAATTTGTTTTTGCTCATTATTTATGAGGTAATATTTATGAATTATTGCAATTACATATGTAATTTTATAATGACACTAATAATTTTATAGCAATAAAATTATTATAAAAAAAATTCAATAAAATTCCACATGTAAAATTAGAAAAAAATTATTAGTGAAATTTTTTAGAAAAATTTTTTTTATTATTAATTTTTTATAAAAAATTAGTAATGGTCAGCTAACTTCAGTATTCTAATTTTACATTAATTAAAATTGATTAATTATTATTTTTTATTGCAGATATACTCTCACTATTAAGCTAACAATGATTGGATCCGACGACTTAACTTTTTAATAGTTATTTGTTTGGATATATTTAATAAACAATCAACTTTGAAATTTAAAACAATAATTTTATTCAAATGTTGTTCACTGTGATAAGAGTTCAATCATCTAAATTGAAGGTTTAATTTTTTTTTATATATTACAAGATTTTTTTTAACTATTTAAAAATTATTTATGACAATGAAGTTAGCCGACATTTCAAAATTTTTAGAAATATTTATTGAAAAAATTTCAATTAGACAATTAAGAAAAAAAATTTCACATGTAAAAAACTTGAAAAAAGATATGTGCAAATTTTTATAAATATCTTTTTAGTTGTAATTTAATTAATAAAAAAAATCAAAAATTTTGAGACGTCTGCTAACTTCAGTGTTATAATTATTTTACTTTATAACAAACACTGAATCCAACAGCAGAGCCATTAACAGAATTCCTTAAATTATAATTATAATTATTGACATTGTAGAGTTCATTACAAAATACAATAATTAAATAATTAAGAAGATAAGTTAAAAGACCCAGTTATTGACACTTGCAATCTTATTCTAATTAAAAAAAAAAAAAAAAATCAACTCTAATAAATTAATAAATATAAATTTTAAGATAATTGATTTTTTGAAAACATTTTTTTTTTTTGATTAGAATAAAATTGAAAGTGTCAAACAACTAGGCCAGTGATAATATTAAAATTAGCCGACATTTTTAACTTTTGATTTTTTTTTAATAATTAAATTAGAATAAAAAAATATTTTTTCAAAATTGCACTGCCAGTTTTTAAAGTTTTTTACAAATGACTATTTTTTTTTAGTTTTTGTGTGATAATTTTTTCAAGAAAAAAAAATTCTAAAAATTTTTAGATGTCGGCTAACTTAATTTTCATAGACCAGTGTCAATTACTGGGTCTTTTACCTTACAATGTTAATCTTATCTTAAACAGATTTCATAAAAGTCGCAAAAAGAATATATCAGTTTATTTCCAATACTTGAGTGACCACATATTATTTACATTAATTTAATCCTAATAATTTTATATTGATTCAAATATCCACAAACTAATTTATTATTAATATTACACATAATTTTTTTTAATTCAACAATGATGATGATAATAATTATTTTTAATTAATATAATTTTTTTACAGTACCAGTGTATTATTGAAGCCAGAAGATCAATAGCTGAAGTAAAATATTTACCTCCAATAGCAAAGACAGTTCGGGAAGTAACAGTCATGATGGAGCACATGAGTCCACGTGCAAAACATTGGTTCATCGGTGGAGACAGAAGTTTAGCTGTTGGAGTAAAATTACTCCGTGAAAAAAAAGTAATCGCTTTGCCAACAGACACGATCTATGGTCTAGCAACACTAGCTCAAGACACAGAGTGTGTTGAAAAATTGTACGAAATTAAAGGACGTGATAAAAATAAGCCGTTTGCTATTGCGGTGAATAGTGTTAAAGACATTAGTCGTTGGGGTCACGTGGACCATATTCTCCCGGATCTTCTGCTGACGCTTTTGCCAGGACAGGTTACCATCGTTGTCAAACGGACTGGTAATTTGAACCCAAAGCTGAACCCAGGAATTGACACTATTGGGGTTCGTGTCGCAGACAGTAAATTCCTACGAAGTCTCGCTAAAGTATTGAATGAACCTTTGGCGCTGACGAGTGCTAATCGCAGCAACGAACCGAGCAGTCTCACGACTGAGGAATTTTCCGAGCTTTGGCCGGTTATTGATGGTATTTTTTATAATATACCTAATAAGTGCAAGCTTGATGAAAAATATCGGGTTGGATCGACTATTGTTGATCTGACTGTCTCGGGTAGGTATAAAATTGTACGGCCTGGAATTGTTCTTGATCGTACTTTAAAGTACTTACATTATTACGGATTTAAACCAGTAGAACCTTAATTTTTCTTTTTATATTTAAAAAATTATGGTTTAAGGTTTTATTATTATTTAAAATATTTATTTTTTTTGTTACAAATAAAATAAAACTAGCAACTTTGCAGTCACTATGTGACTTTCGTAGCTTGTAAACTACAAATAAATAAAATTTTGCTTCATTAAATAATGACTTGTTAAATTGCACTGTACTTTCTTAAATATTGACGTTTTTAAAGATATAAGCTCATCCCGATGTTACACTCATCAAGAGCTTTCATTTGAGTACCCACATGCATTTTCATATATTTTTCATATATACATATATATAATATATATAAATATATGAAAAATTGATGTAGGTACTCAAATGAAAGGTCTCGATGAGTATAACATCGGGGTGAGCTTATATCTTAAAAAATGTCAATAGTTTACAAGACACAAGGTCGTTTCTTAATTATGTTAAATTGCAATGTACTTTTTTAACTATTGACATTTTTAAAGATATAAGCTCATCTGGATGTTACACTCATCAAGAGCTTTCATTTGAGTACCTACATGCATTTTTGATATATTTTTCATATATACATATATATAAATATATGAAAAATTGATGTGGGTACTCAAATGAAAGATCTCGACGAATGTAACATCGGGGTGAGCTTATATTGCACGCCTTATAAGCGAAGCGTTGAGGTTGTGCTCTACTCTCGATATTTCGAAAAAAGCAGTTTTGTCGAAAAGATGTAAGCTCATCCTGATGTTACACTCATCAAGAGCTTTCATTTGAGTACCTACATGCATTTTTGATATATTTTTCATATATACATATATATAAATATATGAAAAATTGATGTGGGTACTCAAATGAAAGATCTCGACGAATGTAACATCGGGGTGAGCTTATATTGCACGCCTTATAAGCGAAGCGTTGAGGTTGTGCTCTACTCTCGATATTTCGAAAAAAGCAGTTTTGTCGAAACTGATAATTGATTTTTTGTTATTTATATTGCACTTACAGGTTAAAATGAGTACATTTATGTCAAGTCAAATAATTTTTCAGGCACATAATAAATATTTTAATAACAATTTTTTTGATTAACATAATAAATAATAACATTAAACATAATTTTTTTTGGACGTCCGTGTATGAATGAGTGTATGTGGCAGGGAAATTGGTCGAAAAAATGATCGTAGCGGAATAATTTTTTTTTAATTATCTAAAGTAACACACGACAGAATTTCTTAGTTAATATGAGCGTTCAATTTACTGTCGTTAAATTATTATTTATAAAAAACTAATGTATGTCTGTGGATTTATTTGTATTTCTATCTATACATTTTATTATAGTATTTTTTTTTCTCACCTTGGAGTTATGGCACCACTAAACCATAGCAGTGTTTTCTGTTTTTTATTATTTTGCTTTCTATATTTTATTTTAATCAATTTTATTTTAAAAAATGAGATTATGAGGCGTGCACTTTTGGATTTTCCAAACTTTTTTAAAAAATATTATTAGTTGACAAGATACAAGGTCATTTCTTAATTTTGTAATATATATAATATATATTTTAAAGATATAAGCTCATCCTGATGTTACACTCATCAAGAGCTTTTATTTGAGTACCCACATAAATTTTTCATATATTTATATATATTACATATATGTATATATGAAAAATATATGAAAATGCATGTGGGTATTCAAATGAAAGTTCTTGATGAGTGTAACATCGGGATTAGCTTATATCTTTAAAATTGTCAATAGTTCACAAGATACAAGGTCATTTCTTAATTATGTATCTAGAGATAGAACATTTTTAAATGCTACCTAAATACTTATCATGAATTGACTATCCTGGACATAAAATTTTTCTTATTCTTTTAATAATATAGATTATCTTTAATTTTCTGATGATTCAAAGACGGACAATTTGTACTATTAAATTAAGCATTGTTAAATTTTAATAAACATTTTTCCAGTTATTTTGTAAAGCAATTAATATAAGTTAATTGTATAATATCTTGACTGTGAAATAAGAAATAATTAAACATTATTTCTTATCAAAATATTTAAGAATTCCATTTTAATATTGAAGATGTAAATTATTAAATAATAATCAAGTTGTATTAAAGAAATAAAAATAATTGTAAATATTATCTAATAGGAATTTAACTAAAAATAAATAGAATGTACAAAAATGAAGATTTTATAAACATAAATACCATTTAGTAACATCAGTATAAACTGAAATAAATATATAATATTTATTCCTGAGATTCATAAGCACATATATCATTAATAATTGACTTTATAATATTATATAGAAAGTTTAATATTAAGTAACAAATTATTTCGTTATGTAATAAAATTGTTAAATTGGCTATTACTGTCAAATAATATCGTCCTGATTGGCAACAGTAAATTTTTTGTAATTGCTAATTAAAGTCTGAAAATATTTATTGGAAGAATATTGATGCTATTTGTTGATTGATATATCAATTAGTTTTGCGATGAAAATTATCATTGGAAGGATAATTATTTAAAATACCATTGCACTCAGTCTCATGTAATTGTACACTATGGCCCATTTCTCTGCCGAGTAATTTGAAAGGTGAGACCTAAAAAATAAATTAATTGAATTAATTTGACTTGATAAAAATTAATTAACAATATTATTTAATTTAATTATTATTTTTAATAAACAAATTTTTTCCAAAAAATAATTTAAAAAAAATTGCATTTTTTTTATTTTTTATGTCAATTTTTTTTTGCCATAATTTATTTCTTACAAAAATTTTTTAAATTATTAAATTTCTGCTAAATTAATTTTTATTACCTTTTTTGACATGAAACTCTGGATGTCATGTCCCATAAAAAAAGCAATTCGTTGTAAAGCGAAGATTGATCTTAACCGAGCTCTAGGATCTGGATTTAGAATTTTCTTTAAAAGATCTTCAGCAGCTTTTGAAATTTCAATATCTTCCGGTAATCTTCCAGGAACAATTGCAATACCGTTAAGGATACTGTCCTCAGTTAAAGTATCTGGAAACTGTAAAAGATACATAGAATGTATTGATTTAAAAATAGTTGCAATTTATGATTGACGGGTAATTTAATAATTGACTAAGCGATGAATAAGATGATTAATAAATTAATATTATTTTTTATTGAGTAACAGCGCTTAAATTATTTGATAAAAGTGATTGATAAATAAGTAGTTATAAATATTCATTGTAATTATTCAACCGATTAATTTTTGTTACCGAGAAAATTATAAATAATTATTGTCTATTACGCACTGCAATCAAATCTTTTTATTCTTGCTGATGATATTATTTTCATTTTTAAATATTATTTATTTTTACGAGGATAATTTTTTATCACGGATTTTTTTTAAATAAATTTTTAAAATGAAATATTATTATGTATTTCTCGATTTAATTATTCGCAGAATTAAAGTGTAAATTAAAGAGGAAGATTAGATGAAATAAAAAGATGAGTTGGTAATTTAAAAATGTAAATAGAAGATTTGAAATTGCAAAAAATGTGGAACGCTTCACGATTTTGCGTGTCATCCTTGCGCAGGGGCCATGCTAATCTTCTCTGTATCGTTCCAATTTTAGTATATGTACTGCCGAAGCAAGTACATCTGAATGTACGTTGAAACTTTTATATATACTAAACAGCATGTATGAAGAGTGCATGCGAGAAACTTTTTAAGCAGAGTCATCTGTCGGCGGGGTTGGAAACACTATCCCCACTCTTAAAAATATTATTTTTATTTTATCGATCAATAAATACTTGATTATTTGTTTATTTATTCTATTACTACATTAATGCTGAATTATATATATGAAAATGATAATCTTTTAAATATTTCGAATTTTATAAATTTTTAAATTGTTAAATTGAAACTCACTTTATCGATAAAGTTTATTTCAAAATTTTATTTTCAAAAAATAGAATAATTAAATTTGATAATTATTTAAGATTGAAATTTTCAATGAAATTAATAATTAAGATAAAAAATTTTAAATAAGTTTTAAAAATTTGTTATTAAATTCCGCTGATAGAAAACAGACACAGAAATAAGTAATAAATTTTTTTTACAGAGTAAAAATTTATTTTTATAAAATAGAATAAAATTTGATAATTATTTGAGTGAAAATTTCAATGAAATATTTTTTAGAAAAATATTATTCAGTTTATAAAATAAAAAATTTTCTATAAAATGAATAATTAAGAAAAAAAATTTTTAAAAATATGTTATTTAATTCCACTAATAAAAAACAGACACAGAAATAAGTTATAAATATTTTTTTACAAAATAAAAATTTATTTTTATAAAATATAATAAAAATTGATAATTATTAAAGTGAAAATTTCAATGAAATATTTTTCAAAAAATATTGAGTTTATAAACATTAATAAAATTAATTGAAAATTATTGAGTGTCCCATTATTAATAATAAAATTAAAATAATAATTTTCAGATTTAATAATTTCTAATAAGCGCATTATTTATTAGCGTTTTTTCAATCTTTATTATTTTTCCCATAACTAAAAAGGTAAATATCTTTCTCCGTGGGATAAAATTTACGTTTTTTATAATAATAATAAAAATATAAATGATATATTGAACCGAATAGTCAGTTGTGCTCGATCATAAACGAAATAAATATTAACATAATAAATATAGTTGGTATAAATAAATGCAAAACAGGTGTCTGATCTGGACACTGACCTTGACCGAGACTCGTAACGGTATAAGTATAGAAAGGATTAAATATTACGCGATGAAAGATTAAATGTATTTCATCCCCACTTTGTTCCAGAGATCGTTTCCTATCCGAGTACTATCATACTGCGAAGCCTAAAGTCCTCGAATCTCAAAAAATTGAAGAAACTTATACAAATATTAACATTGACATTAATTAAATGAGTTTGTTTTATCACCAATGCGATCAATATTATTTGACTAGTTTTAAACTAATTCAAGTCGAGATGGAGCATTCCATCTTCGCTAAAGATCGAGACGAGATTGTCTCTTGTTGTTAGGTCGATGGACTCCATCAAACAAGATTATTAAATAATTATTAATAATTAATAAATTAGGTATAGAACTCCGTTAACTATAAGTTATGTATAAAATTTAAATTACTTAAAGTAGTTTGAAAGATGTTCCAAAGTCAAGAGGAGCCGTTGGGTCAGCAGGTAAAGGATGAGTCTAGAGAGCGAGACGTCTACGGTTCGAATCCCCCTCTAGGCACCATTTTTTTTTTTATAGACCTGATTCAGTCAGACATGAACATACCTGTTCACGTCTGATCATACCTGCTCATGCCTGATCAGGCATGGTCATTTTTCCCGCGTTTGCCAAGCATGGAAAAGCATGATCATGACTGATTAGTTCTGATGATGCTTGGTCTTGCATGACCATACAAGCTCATGTCTGGCAAATATACATGCATGATCATGTATGACATTAACGCCTGATCGTACATGTTCATGCATGATGATTTTTTCCCGGGTGGAGTCCATCGACCTAACAACAAGAGACAATCCCGTCTCGATCTTTAGCGAAGATGAAATGCTCCATCTCGACTTGAATTAGTTTAAAACTAGTCAAAAAATATTGATCGCATTGGTGATAAAACAAACTCATTTAATTATTAAAATCACGGTTGAGAAAATTGGTTTATTGACATTAATATTTAATAAAATATTGTCTGTTGATATGAAGATAAAACTCTTGTTCTGTTCTTACATCTCAAAAAGTTGTATTAGCTCTCAAGCCAGCAAACAACAACTGAACTGAAACCGCCTCCTTGAGAAGTAAAAAATATTTTAAAATAAAAATACAATCCTCATGCTAGTAAAATGTTTAAACGGCACCGGCGTAAACATTGGCGGATAAAAGTATGTAAAAAATAAAGTTAAAATCAAGATATTCCACATCTTTGCGCCAGTATACTTATAAGTATCTTCTAGAATAGTTTAAGCTTAACTTATTCCAAGTATTGTTAAACAAACACGAGATTTCTTACAGGATAAAGGCAAGTACAATCTCCTTGTATAATTATTAGCAAAGGGTGCAGTGATACATACATTTTCCCAACGGCGTTAGGATCACTCATGAATAAGGTAAAGAAACACAAGGGCAAAGTCATGGTCTCGTGAACTCTCTACAAATGTAGTTAATTATTCTTTCAACAGATAATTATTTCACTTGGCCGCTCTTGTTTATCAACAAAAAATTGTTTATCTAGAAAATTAAATATTATAAAAAAATATTATTTATTGTTTAAGCCAAATTTAAATGGATAAACTTAATTTAAGAGAAGTATAAAATTTTTTTAACTTCCTGCTAAGAAAATTGAAAATTTTCTACTAAAAAGAAGTTATTAATTTTGGTCCGATTTTCGAAAGTCGAGTTTTTATCAGATCTCCATGTTTTGAAGTCCCAGAAAGCCATTCTGGGTATTCCCGCTGAGGTGTCCGGCCGTGTGTGTGTGGATTTATATATGTGTGTAAATAAATTTTTGTCGTACACTAAAAAAAAAATTAATTTGATTCAAGAGAAAAATTCTTGAACCAAGAATATAATTTTTAAGAGGGTAATTGTCTTGATTCAAGACGAAAAATTCTTGAATTGAGTAAAATTTCCTTAAATCAAGAAAAATTTTCTTAAATCAAGAATTTTTCTACTCAAACCAAAAATATTGAGCTCTTCAAAAATATATACTTGATTCAAGAACATTTTTTTTTCTGTGTGCCCAATTTCAAAACACAGTAACTAACATTTAGAAATTTTATTCAATTATTCTTATCAAAAAAAAGTTTGCTTGCCAAATTGATGAAAAATTTGATTTATTAATACAAAATACTTGAATATGAATATTAAAAAAAAAATACTTAAAATTAAGGTCTAAAAGTTATATAAAATGTAGCAATATTAAAATAAATTAGGTATAAAAATTTTGCAGTTACTGCGTTTTAAAATCGGGCAGCCGGAGAATTTTTTTACTCAAATCAACAAGATAAAATTCTTCAAAATTATTTACTTGATTCAATTAAATTTTTTTTTATTTTTTTTATGTGTACGATTTCTCAAAAACGAAGAAATCAAAAAGAAAAATTTGAATTTTTGTGTTTTTTTAAAATAACTTTAAAGCGTGTGGAAAAATTATAATGAAACCATGTATACATTTTTTGTGCTTAAAAAACTGTGTCGAAAATTAAAATCGAACGACGTATGAAAAATTTATAGTTGTTTAAAAATTAACAAAATTGTGTTTTTCGGTATTATTTAAAAATATTTTTGAAATACGAGATTTCTCAACCAATTAAAATAAACCTATACATTTTCTTTTTGTGCTTTAAGAGCCAGTTTTTCAATCCAGGATAAAATTTTATCCAATGATAAAATATACCTATATCGACGTTCTAATTAGCAAATTGTCTAACTCGATTTTATAGAATCTTCTATTTGTACGAAAAAAACAATTAGTTCAAAATTTAATATCATTAAGGAGGTCCTTTCGCCGCCAATGTAAAATAAAAAATATTAGATTATGAGTAAATTCAATTTTTTTCTAATAGTTAAGGTCCTTATTTATCTAATAGTGAGGTTTAAATTATACTTTACTGGACAAATTTTTGAAAAAATAAAATTTTTAAATGCTAGTATTTGTTCAGAGTCTTACGAGAAAGTCAGACGTTTGCAGTATTTCTCGAATTATACTATCAGTCATGGATTAGATGAAGTAAAAAAAAAAACTAAAAATTAGATTTTCGAAATATTCAGGTTTCTTTTTTTGCAATAAAATATATCAGTTACCGAGATATTTATTGAGAAATTAATATTTAAAAATCACAAAAAATTCTCAAGTAACCTACATTAAAATGGAGTCAAAATATTTGGCAACGTTGCGTATCGCGGGAGCTTCAGACCATTCAATAAATTCAAACTAATTTATTTATTTACACTGACTGCAAAAACTTAAACGTGGTTAAGGTTATATTGTGCAAATGAAAATGTAAACAACCGAAGTACAGCGTTGCCAAATCACGGACAGGTTACTAGCAGTTGATTTGAAAGAGTCAAATTAATTTTTGTATTTAACTATTTTTTTTTTTTTATTTTCAAAATTTCAACGATTAATGCCTCATATACTATTTATTATTTAATTTTAGGAATTTTTATGGGTTTTTTATTTTAATTTATCGTATATTGACTACTACAATTGTTTTGACTCAACTGGAGCGAAAGGATTTCCTTAATATCTAAGAGAAATAATATTTTTTTTTTTTTTTTATTATATATTTAAATTACAATCTGT